TGATCCCTCATTTCTCTAGCTAACTTGCATTTCCTTTTGCCTTTGAAGCCTCATGTCAGATATTACCTCCCTTATAAAGTTCTCCATGATAGCTCCCTGATCCTCTGTGTTCTCACCTAGCTCCCTAGCATGCCTTCATCAGGTCTCAGTTTCACTCTCTTCCTCCTCCGTAGTACGGAATCCTATCTTCATACTAGTTAAATAGCTCTATAACCAGTGTGATAGATAGCAGGCAAAGGTGTCCAATAAGTGATTACTGAAGAAAAAAACAAATAAAATGATTCTAAAAATTCTATGACTATATCTTCTGTAGGAATTCAACTTCGAGATTTTTTTCTCTAAGAAAGAATTTTAGTTCTGTATATGAGGATTCTGAGGTACTTTCAATGTCTTTTCACTCACAAAAAGCAATTGTAGTCTGGTCATGCTCTTACTCAAAGGAATGCAAGAGCTTTTGCATTCCTTTCAGATATTATTATTTTAAAGTTTTCATCCATTTTAATGGAAGATCAAAATGAATTTAGAAAAGAAACTCCAATAAAGTGGTTTGGAAAAGCAGTGTGATTAATGGGAAGAGCAATGTCTTAAAAGTCACCTGGAAGGCTTTGGTGATATTATATGCAGAGGGGAATCAGCATATGAAATGGTGAAGAAAACAATTCCCAGTCCTGGAGAATATGAGGGAGGGACTGAAGAATATCTCTTCTACAGCCACTATTTTCATTCACAGAAATTCTTCTCATTAAGGAGAAAGCCCTCTCTAATTTAAACTTTAACCTGACCCAAAGTTAGAAACTCTAGTACTTCTAATCATTTGATTCCTGTTTATAACTGAAGATACAGGTTACATCTTTTATATCTATATTTGTTTTCCTTTATCTTAATGAACATTTTGAATATGAAAAGAAAAAACTCATAGTCTCCCTCTCTCTACCTCCTATTGTAGGCTGCAATAAAGATACATCAAAGAAGATGGTACTGATTTGCAAATAAAGTTACAGGAATTGGAGAGTTGCAGAAAGAGGGAGGGAGAATGCAAAAGCTGGCTGATGCGAACTTTCTGTGGTACATACCTCTGGAACACATGTTTGGGTTTGAGGGTCTTAAAGAATAAATTGGTATCAAATGTAGAGTAAAGGAGTGAAGAAAGAGGAGGAGGTGCCTCATAAATCAATTAGGAGGCAGTGAATCCTGGGAACAAGAAACTAGAGAGGTTTAGATCAAGAGGAATTTAAATGCGTTGCTTTAAGGATATTCAGACTTCCTGCTGCTGGCCTGGATAGGACAGGAATTCTTTTATTTGCTTATTCAAGAAAAAAGTGACCCAGAATAACTAGAGTTCTTGCAGAAATTTGGGTGGCAGATATTTGGATTAGAGTTGTTTAAAATTGCAATACATATTTGTGACTGAATGTGCTTAATGAAGAGGGTGTTGTTAAGAATGCTAAATAAAACCAGGGCATTTCAGTGTGGTCCTGAAGTGGATGAGCATATGGATTTAGTGTTATCAGCATCACACAGATTTCTTTTTCTTAAAAAAGAATACTTTTTTTGCATTTGATTATTTTAGAATCATATTTTAGAGTATTAGATTTCAGAAAATGTGACTAGAAAGGATCAATTTAATCAAATAACAAGTGCAATAGAATTTGTATTCTTTTCTTAAAAGAACCCATCATTTGGATTTTGGAAACACAATTCCCAGACAAAAGAAAGCTATCTAAAGTATTTTTACATGTGTATCTGGTAGGAAAAGCTTGGCTGCATGTGGCCAAAACTCTCAATGATGACTTAATTAACATAGTGGTTGATTTTTCCTCCCAGAAATGAAGGCAGGGATGGGAAGCCAGAAGCTGGTATGATGCTCTTGTGGTTTCTTTCTGTCTTCTGGCTTCATGAACAATTCACTGTCTTCTCATCTGTGACTCATGATGGGTGCTTCTGTTCCAACTGCCTTGTTCTCATTTCAGAGAGTACAAGGAAAAAATGGTCTAAAAGGGGCATGTCCCCTTAAGAAACATCATTGAGTACATACCTTTGACTTTTGCTTGTATTCCACTTAAAATGTTGTAGGTTGAGAAATGTTATTTTATTCTGAGTAGCCTTATGGTCAGCTTAAAATCAGGAATTGGAGGAAAATTTATAATTTGTCATAATGCTCTCTATAACCTTAATTCCGGAGCTGTGTTCGCCAGGTGGAGATAGACTTGACAAGGAACAATCAATTAGTGAGCATAATTGATAGATCTGTAGTAATGGGATCACGTTTAGTGAGTAACTTTTAAATTGCTGCCAACAGACCTAGTAGTTATCACTATGTTTTGGACAGGGTAGAAAGGTAAGAAGAGGGAGAAGGAAAGGAAGAATGACAGTAAGGATTTTCTGACTTATATATTAAGGAATATTTAAAGAGCAAGCCACATTTTCTCTAAAATATTGATTTTTCATTTTAAGTTGAAGCCAAATATCAATATAGGTAAAATTGGTAGTTCCCAGAACTGATGAGAACTCACAGAGCTTAACAAAATGAATGCATGGCTGATCTTACTCTAACATATTTACAAGGAAAAGAGAATATTGATTAACGGGCTTTAGGACACCATCTGCAAATTATTATTGTTTGAAATAGTCTTATTGCCAAGAAGTTTGTGTATGCTATGTTTTTCTCATTGTAAGGGAATTCAAACTTTGTATTATTTTGTTTATTATGTGGTAATTCTCAAAATTTTGTTGGTTTTGAGAAATAGGCTAATATTAGGGACTTCAAGAGCAGGTGGTTTAATATCCAATATGTGAGTTCTGAGTTCTTGTCATGCTTGCATTGCAGTATCATAGTTTAATCTAAAACAGAATACAATATCTCTGCCTCAGTTGTACCCTTAGGGATATTAAAAGTATTATTCATTGCTCATTTTTAATCACAAAGGAAGAGGATGTCATTATAAAAAGACATCTCACTGTTGTTGTGCTTGTTATTATCAAAATATAAAATCCAGTGTTCCTGAAAGTAGAATGATTCCTGAGTGTTCACTTTTCTCTTTTCTTTGACTCACTTTAAAGCTTGCTTTTATTATTTTGCATCACAACACATAAGAATTAGCCTGTAGATATAACATTATCTAAAAGCATTCATAACTTAATTGCTTCACATATAACATTTAGCAATTACCAAGTTGACACACTTCATTCATCTAAAGTTGTCCAGCTATGATGAAAGCTACCCACATAATTTTCTATTATGAATGACAAATACACAGTTATTTCATAACTCTACTTATTTTGAAATGGCCCTCAAAGAAATCTAGATCAAGGCTTTATGTACCTTTAAACTGCAGAGCATAAGAGACTTCTATATCTGTTTGGAAGCATTGAAGATTAGCATAAAGTAGAGTTTGCCTTATTAAGTAAAATTCTGGAGGAAATAAATAGCAGCAAATCTATAATAATGGTTATAAGTGGGTAGTGTTTAATGATATTTTGTTTCTTAGCTGGTGATGCAGAGCTATAAAAAGTTAGATTCAGATAAAAAAAAAAGTCCAGGTATCTGAATGCTTAAAAGAAGAGTTCAAAAAAATGCAAACACCAATATTCCCTAGCTCTTTGCTTGATTTACAGAATACAACTTAAAGGAATCAGTTAACATTTAACTCTGGTTCAAAAAATGCTAGAATATAATCTTTTATACCACAAAATTTATGTAATTAGTAGAATAAGCGCCAAATGAGTACTAAAAACAGACATTTGTAGGAATTGAGAGTTTTTGTGGATAGAAAATGATTGAGGAAGCCATGATAAAAGGGATCTTCTGCTTTGCAACAGGCAAATGAATCAGATAGAGATGAATAGAGAAGGAACAAAGGCTTGATGATGGGAGTTAGTAACATGTATTCTGATATCAGTGAAAAATAAAGCATTCGTCCTACAAGATGGCAAAAAATGAGAGTGAGTCATTTTGTTGGCAAATTAACTCACGAGCTTGTAAATAAAATTCCAAGTATTTGACCTGGAAAAGATAATAAAAATATTTGGGATGGTCTAACTGCAAGTCTAATTTGCCAAGAGATGGTGGCAAGACACATCAGCAGATTGTAAGATCACAGTAGCATTTGAACTTGGTGAAGTTAAAGTCACTTGAGCTACAGGTAAAACAGGTAGCACAGAGAATAGTGCCTGGAATATAGTAGACACTCAATGCTTGTTTAATTGAACTGAATTTTTACCCACTATGAGTCTATACAAGTGTAGGTGCTATTTATTCAGGGTTTAGGATAGGAGTGAACATCTTCATAGATATTGTATTTTAATACATAGGAGAGGCCAGGACACTATTAATTTTATCAAGATTCAAATGAAATGTTATAACATAGAAAATAATTAACCATACATTCATTCAATATAGAATTAATTAATCTATACATTTATTCATTCATTTCTGTTGAGTATCTACCATGGGCTTAGAACTTCTCTGGGTCCAAAGGTCCAAAGGTAAATGAGACAGACTAGGCTTCTGATCTCATAGAACATTTATTGTAAAGACAAGTAATAAACAAGTGCTTACAATAGTGTGGCATAATAGAAATATATCTGATCATTATTCTCAAGTTCCTAGCACAGAACTTCAAAAACACTTGTAATATCCTGAGTGATAGGTATATTTTTATTATAATCAGTGACTAATGGTGGACCTCTAGATAGCTTTAGGATGGAAGTTGGTGACCAAAGAGGTTCCAAGAGGTGACTGAATGGTTGGAACTTTGGGCCAGCCAACTTCCAGGGAAAGATGGAAAGCTAGAGGTTGAGTTCAATCCTGTGGTCCAGTAAAAACTCTATACACTGCTACATGTTTCTGTATAATAAAACTGCGGTCATAAGCATCATGCTTGCTTGGATCCTAGAGCTGGGTTACTATTCATCTTCTTCTGCCCTAGTACATCAGAACTTCAGGCTCTCTGCCTTGAAAATTCCAGGACATGGCTTACGGGGATCCTCTTTTTTTTCAGGGCTTTGGTCTCAGGCTGAGATTTCACCATCAACTTTCCGGCTCTCAGGCCTTTGGACTTGGACTGAACCATACTATTGGATTCCATGGTTCTCCAGCTTGTAGAGGCCTATTTTAGGGCTTCTCAGTCTCCACAGTGGTATGAACTAATTTCTATAATAAACCCTCCCTTATCCATATTAAAATATAATTTGATTTTAAAAATTTTCTTATTTGCTTGAATTACAACTAAATTCCCTTTCATTATTGGATGGAATGATTAATGAAGCCTAAAGGAGAATGGAGAGAGAATCTGTAATTCCACGTTAGGACTGGTATCCTGTTTTTCGTGTTTTTTTTGACCATTCAAATCCATCTCACAAAAATCCAAGATAATAGGAAGCCTGTAGAACAAGGAGTAAAGCAGGATACTTTCCAGCAGTGGGAAACATTTTATCAAATATTTGTGCCCCAAAACAATGTCTATAAACTCTGAGAAATGGGCAGAATTGAGGTCCTTTTAAATAAATGAATCTTCTAGAAGTAACATAAATTTTTAACTGTTTGAAGTAGTCTTCAGTAAACATCCAATTAAACATTAATGCAGAACATCTCTGAGTTTTTATTAAGCCTTATGAAATGTGGATATTGCCGAGTTTCAGGGGCTCAGCATATGCCCGTTGGCCAATGTCTTGGACAACTCCTTTTAGGAACAAGATAGAAGATAGAAGATACTTTTACTACCCCCAGATGTCTCTAAAAGGCATACCAATTTTCCTTTGAATAATATCATTTAAAAAAGTATATTGATGGTTAATTTTTTGTTTCCCTCAATCCTTTGCTACTAGGGTGAAGAACTTGAAAATCATTTTCTTACACTAAAAGTAAGGTTAAATATACGTAGGAGAACAAACTTGCTACTTTTCATTTTTTTAGAAATAAACACAGAAGCAAGTGAAATGTGCTAATGTGCTCCCAATTAGCACATTCATTAAGAACTATGTTGAATGCAGTAATGAACTTTTTGCTTCTGATTGAATATAGAATTCACAGTGATAAATTAGTGAGTGTGTCTATGAAAGTTTCTAAATTATAGGGCTGAATGAATACTACTAATAAAACATTCACCACCCACATGAGATTGGTAAATATGAATCTAACAAACCCAAAAACTATCTTTTGCATAAGTATGGGTTTTTCATTGAGTAAATTTCAGGTAAATTTAATCTTAAGCACTAATGTGTCCTCATCTGGTTGATTTGTCTGATCAAGTTTGAGTTTGAGGCATTAGTTCTTCTGTATTCAGATAAGGATGATTCCCTTTAAATCTACAGTGAAATGAGAGAAACTTATACATTGAGTTTATCAGATGCTGCTTTAATACTAGAAGAATCACAAAGCTTTAGATATTTTGACCACCAAGAAGCTTCAATAAAGATATAATGGAATTGAAACACTAGAAACTGCTACTTGTTAAACTCAACTGAGACTGGTGGTAGGAATAATAGGATGGTAATAGCACTAGGTGATGAACATGTTGATTATTATTATGATGATTTCCATTTGGCAAGTTCATAATCAATGTTATATATATGGGGTGATCAAACTATATGATGAATGTTTAAATAAAATATACATTACAGTAAAAGACACATTGCTATTAATTCCCCTCAAAATACTCCCCCCACACTTTGATCACAATTACTTAGTTCTTACCACTTTCCAAAGCAGCTCTGGAAGTCTTGTTTCATATCTTTAGAAGATGTGATCAAAAACACTGTGAATACTGCTGCCAAGTTCCAAACTATGGAAAGTTAGGCTCCTGAAAACATTCTGGTGTGTCCTCTTCCTTCTTATTCACTGGATTTGGCACTTCTGGCTCTTTCCTAAAGGCAAATTGGCCATCAAAGATAAATGTTTTAAATCAATTCCATAGATCAAGACAGCCACAACACCACAACTAAAGACACTCAGGAAAAAAGACTTCCAGAACTGCTTGAAAAAGTGGCAATAATGATGGGATAAGTGTTTGAAGTGAGGGGATCAATAGCAATGTGTATTTTACTATAATACACTAAGAAAAACATTAAATAGTCACTGCAATTTTCCATCACACTTCATATTCATATATATTACTTACATACATTTACAACCATAGGTAGAAATTATTTCATTTCTCTTCAGAGGAAGAAACAAAACTTCATATTATTTTTTGTGGAATTCAGTACTTTTGTGGTCAATTAGAACCTTTCTACACTTCCCCCAACATCCACTTTGCCTAGAAGGCCATTTTTCTTCTGTATCAACCTAGGTATCTTTTTATATTGGCTAATCAAGAAGTCTTGCTTGCCATGACTGTCTAGTATCCACCATCTACCCTCTCCTGCCCAGGTCTTCAACATTAGAGAATGCTTTCCATTTCTTTTCAAACCTCCACAGACTCTAGCATAGTGCACTACTTAGATTAGAAATTCAATAAATTTTGTTGTTCAGGAAGAGAAAAATCTATCATGTTTTTAAATACTTCAAAAAAATGAGATGCCTCTGCTGCCCTTGGTAACATATCTCTAGGTCTATTGGCATTGACTCAAGAGATTTGCCCTTCATTCTTATCTGAATACCTCCCGCTATTTTCTCTCTTCACTGAGTCTCACAAACATCCTCTGCAATAGTCCTTCATACCAAGGGAAGTTTTATGTCTTACTTCAGCTGCTCCTCCAGACAAAATAATGAGATTTGGAGCTATCATTACAGATTAGATTTTTTTAAATCGAGTCTTTCTCATTTAATTATGTTCAAAAGAATTAACTTCACAGGAAGCATAAGCAACCAAACAAAATCAAAACTAAGTTATTATTTCAGTTCTCTTGTATTTTTCTGCTCAAAGAAAAGTCATGATATGCATAATTCCTTCAAATGGGTATAATATTTATTTATTTATTTTCCATTAAGTTTATTGGTACAATTTAGGTAACAATACAGTTGCATTCATCATTGGGATCTTGTACCTTTACATGATGTATCTTGGTTCTTACTTTTTCCCCATTCCTCTGCCCTCCCTTCACCACCGCCACCCTTTCATATTTACAATGACTTTGTTTCCATTTTTTCCTTTTCTCATATTTTTTCTTTTCCCTTCTTTCCTTTTCCCCACCCCTCCCACTTCCCCTACTCCTTTAGACCTTTTCTTCCTATTTCACAGCATCAGTTATACATTTTGATCCTTATTTACACTTTTAGTTTTTCACACCAGAGAAACTATTTGGTATTTACACATGTGTGTCCTATTTATTTCACTTAAGAGTATGGCCTCAATGTGCATCCACTTAGTTAAAAATGTCTTTTGTTTCTCGTTCGTTATCGCTGAGTAGTACTCCATTTATAAAAAGACCACATCTTCTTTATCCAGTTTTCAGTTGATGGGCAATTGGGCTGTTTCCAAGTTTTAGCTATTACAAACTGTGCTGCTATAAACATGGGTGAACATATATCACTGTGGTATGATTCTTTTAATTCTTTGGAAAGATACCCAGCAGAGGAATAGCTGGGTCAAGTGGGACTTCTAATCCTATTTTTTCGAGGTATCTCCATATTGATTTCCACAGTGGTTGCACCAGTCTGCATTCCCGTCAATAATGAGGAAGGGTTCCTTTCTCCTCACAACCCCACCAGCATTTTTTATTGGTTGATTTCTTGATAGCAGCCATTTTTCTGGAGTGAGGTGGAATCTCAGCATTGTTTTCATCTGCATCTCTCAAATGATCAGTGATGTTGAACATTTTTTCATATGTTTATTTGTTGCTTTTACTTCTTTGTCTGAGAAATGTCTTTTTATTTCAGATGCCTAATTTTGGATTGGGTCTTTATATTTGGGGGGTCTGATTTTTTTTTTAGTTCTTTATATATTCTAGATAGTAAACCTTTGTCTGAGGAGAAGCTGGTAAAAAATTTGTCCCACATTGTAGGTTGTCTCTTAGCTCTGTTGGTGGTTTCTCTTGCTGTGCAGAACCTTTTTAGTAAGAAGAGATCCCATTTGTTGATTGTTTATGCTAGTTGACAGGCAACTGAGGTTTTGTTCATAAAATCTTTTCCTACACCAATGTCTTCAAGAGTTCTACCTAACCTCTGTTCCAGCTGGTTCAGGATTTCTGTTTTAATATTTAGATCTTTCATCCATTTCCATTCAAGTTTAGTGCATAGTGAGAGATACAGGTCTAGTTTTAATCTTTGGCAAGTTGAAACCCAGTTTTTCCAGCACCATTTATTAAAGAGGCTATCTTTCTTCCAGTGATGGTGTTTGGCTCCTTTGTCAAACATGAGGTAGCTGGGTGTGTCTGGAGTTGTTTATGCATCTTCTAATCTTTTCCACTGGTCCTCAAGTCTGTTTCTTTGCCAGTACCATGCTGTTTTTATAACAGTAGCTTTGTAGTATAGTTTCAAGTAGGGGGTTGTGATATCCCCTGCCATGTCTCTGTTGCCTAGAATTACTTTTGGGTCTCTTCTGGCTCCAAATGAATTTTTGGATTGTTTTCTCTACTTCTGTGAAATATACTGTTGGGATTTCAATTGGGATTGCATTGAATCTTATAATATTTATTTTTGAAAACAGTGACTTTGTAACAAGATTGTGTGAACTTCGATTTCCATAAGTGATGTTCATTGATACTTTTCCTTTCTCATTTCTGTGGAAATTTAGGTTTTAGTTTTCCTTTAACAACTTTTGATTAAAGGGATAAAGTGGGGGAGTATAGATCCAAAAGAAGCCAGACTACCTCTAGCCAGAAATCTTGAACTTTAGTTCCATTTTTTTGGTATGTTTCTCCTATGAATATAGAAGTATTTTTTTATGGCTGTAGATTGAAGTATCTTATAATGGATATATTTTCAGTATTTTCTCTGAGCAGACCCAACCCCCAACCCGTGTTCCTTTTAGTGTCACATTGCAAAATTAATCTTTCCATTTGCTCCACTCCACACCATTTAATACTTCTTGTCTCCACATAAAGCACCATGACATGAGCTTTAAATAAAAGCTGGATAGGGCTAAGTTGTGTGCATATTGTGTTTGGGGTTAAGAAACTAAATTCGACAGGTAATGGAGCCAGATTTAACTGCTCCATGATGCTAAACTGTGAGGTGTCATGTCAATCATCTGTCCAGGAAATATAAGCTATAAAAGGAAAGAAAGATGTATTTCAGATGCCCAATCTCACAAGCAAAAGTTT